GTTGCGCAGATTTCCAAAATTTTTACCAGTGTCCCCCCCTTTTCGGAGGGTACCAGTGAGATCCCCCTGTATTGGCTATTTATGTGTTTTTTTTACATATTTTTATGCCCATCATCGATGAATAGGCCGTCATCCAGGTGACAGGCACTGGGAAGTTGTCCACTCGGAGGATGGGAATCGATGCAGTGTGAAACTTTACTCATTAAATACAAGTAATTTTCAAAATTCAGCAGACAAAAATCTAGGCATGATTGTAATCGCAGGAGTTTCTACTTTCAGAAGCGTGCCAAGTTTTCTTTTCAAACCTCCAATTTTCCCTTTTTGTAAACTGAAAAACTAAACCTTGCGGTAATACATTTTCATTCTAAAGCTTACATATTTCCTTCTTCAGAAGCGTTCTCATGGGACGGGATACAGAAACTTTAAAAAATGTAAATTAAAATGTTGCAAATATTCAACTCTTCAAAAAATCGTCCCGTTGTTTCGTTTTTTAGGGCTTTGTAGGTCCAATTTTTGAGAGCGCGCGAGTTTTCGACATTCAAACATTCATAACTTTCTTCATATCAACTTTTGCAGATCTCTAAGGCTAATTAGAACTAGAAAATTAGAACTTTCGAAAAATTACAAAAGTTCTTCTGAAGGACTAATTCTCCAAAAAAGAGTCCCGTTGTTTCCGCTTTTTCCATCTATGCCTTTTTCAGGGTTTCTCCTGAAAGGCGAGTTTTCAACTTTCGAACGCCCATAAGTTTCCTTCAAAATTAATATAATGAAAAGCAGTAAAAATAATTGAAATCAACAATCAATCATATGAATATATTCCTGTACTTCAATTGTAAACAATGGCTGATAAACAAATAAATAAACAAGATCACGCTTTGTTGCACAGGATAGATTCTTCTTTAGCTTTAAAACGGACACCTTTCTTCTGCTACAATTTTCTATTAGGATTCTAGAAATTATTCCACCGAATTCGTTCAAATTTCTTGCATTTCAGTTTGTTCTGAAGTCATCGAAGAAGCTCTCAAAGAAGCTATTTGCTCGTTCTCAGTGGAATATGAAGCGATTCAGTAAGAGCTCCTGCTCTGGGATGCGCCATTCAATCGTCTGTGGTGAATAGTCGCAGTGGTAGTTGAAAGTCTGTCCTCCTTTGCCACTTTGCCACGCCTTGGCACTTCAAATTTTGTGACTGGTACTTGAGGTACCCCCCCCCCTTTCATTGGCCAAATACAAACGTCTCGTTGATTTTTGCGCAACGGGTGGTTGACTCAACCTCCAACTACAATTACTCCCTCTTGGGCTCTGAAGAAGGCAATTCCACCGGAACGAAGCCACTAATCCTTATTTAAAAGCCTCACATAGGTTCAGTAGAAGAAGTTCATAGCTGAACTTGTCCCGTTTTCGAAGGCGCTTTTCTTATCAAAGCCTCATGTAGAGTCAGTAGAAGAAGTTCATAGTTGAACTTGTCCCGCTTTTTGAAGGCGCTTTTCCGACCATTTTGCCATTTTTCCTGTAGTGGTAACTGGGGCAATAATTTTAATAGAGGATAAGCAGTCTTAGCGGATAAGCTGTTGAGATCATAGAGAGGCACTCAAGGCGCCAAATACTCAGATGGATTCCTTGAAATATTCTCAATCCTACTATATGTTTAACGGATTCAAAAGAAGATCCTAGACATTATAACAATTTCTACAAAACCTTCAACAGAAAGTCAGGAAAATGGTGGTCCTGGCGCGATATTCTACAGTCGACATGATGAATAGTATCGAATAAAGAGTGTATCAACCATGGAAATTACGACGGCCAAATGACCTGCTAGGCAGAAAGCTATGATCGAGATTCGCCGCCACGAGATGACGTCGATCGGCGTGTATTCAGAAGCGGGACGAGGACGAGAGAGCATCAGCGACCGGGAGTCCGCTGACGGCCGCAGAATCGATATCGTTGCGGTGGCAGCAAACGACGAGCAACAGCAGCTCTACAGCTCTGAACGTCGTACTTCAAACCACTGATGGACACCGTCAGTCCGTCAGAAACGGCCACATCTGGCCAAGTGGCCACCACCAGCAGTACACCAATCACTGCCGCACCGCCTACTCTGAACGCTAACGAGGAACCACGTGTCGAGGTGTCGATTGTTGGAAGTCCTGAGGTGAGCAAAAATTCCAAAAAAAAACTTCTCTTTTTTACTTCGATTATTTTAATTCACATTCACTTATTTATCCCTAGTTCTGTACCTGCAGTGATCAATCCGCGCTAAATTTTCTCAAGAATCCTAAACATTTCCTATTTTTTTATCCGACCAATTCTTTTTGAGAGAATTCTTCAACCCTTATCACTATGCAGTTCCACTCCACTTCCTCACTCCATATAAGACTAAATATGAAATTTGCACTGATTTTGAGATCATCATCTTATCCCTGGCGCTATAGGGATTATCGCATTCAAACGTGTAGACGTTTCTTGGAGTAGCTGTATGCATGGCTTATTCCAGGAGTGTAGATCAACACCGATTTTCATTTTTCCGTCATTAATCGATAGTGATAAGCCGGGGTGATCTCAATCATCAAAGAAATGGCGATGGGCTTGAAAAAAATCGAAATTAATGACTTTTGATTGTCAGTACTCTAGATCCTACTTAGGTGACAGTGTGTTACTAAAATTTGCATTATGGCATAGCTCAACTCAGCGCGGTAGTAACAAGAAGCTTTCAGTCAACTTCCTATGTTCAATTATCTTCTGGAAGGCTTGTCCTGGGGACTTTGAACCGTTTGCCATATATAGCCGCTTTCAACAACGATACATAAGGTGTGGAACTTTTGCCATTGATCGATCGCTTTCAGAAGGCGCCACACTCTCTGTTTCGAGATGGTAGTGAATTTGAAATCCGGAGTCGATTCGATACATTAATTTGACTTTTTATTTTGGATGGATATAACAAACCACTATTTTTAGATATCGAAAAGTAGAATTTTGGAGGAGAAGTGGGAAGGGAGGAGACTGGGAAGGAAGGGGGCGGGGTAAATCGGTGAAGTACGGTAGGTGAGGCACCGCGTTCTAACTCGGATCTTGCAGCTGATGGCGATTGGTGGAAGCAACATATGGTGCTCATTGTTGTAAAGTGGAGGGGCAGTGTGAACGTTCAAAATCGCCGTGAGATCTCAGCGGCGACTCTTTGCCATTGCTCCAGAAAAGCGGAAATATATCTTCCGGAAATAATGTCTTAACCCTACCGGTGAGATTATCTTCGCTAATCTCACCAGTAGGGTTAAGACATGGTGCCTCACCCAGCAGCAGAGTGAGACCTTACGAGGACGGTGTCTGACTTTGCTGTAGTTCTCTTCACGGCTTAGGCGAAAAGCGTGCTTGTGAAGAACGTTTAATTCGTCTCAGCATAACATATTGATAGAAAATTTGTTTTGATCAGGGGGAAGGAGGGGGATTTTGAAACGAGCCACTCGATCAGACAGGTCAGCTGGTAAGGTATCCATTGAGCGAAACTACTTCTATCCAAGGGAGCTTCTCGAAGGCGCTGTGACATAGTCGAACAACCAAAGTCTTCCATGAGATCGGGTCCTACGGGTTATCTGTGCGACAGCTATTGAGGTATTTTACGAGGCGTGGATTTACCATTAAAGGGTTTGAACATTGGTAGGCTTTGTATTTTACTGTACTCATCAAACACATTATAAAATGTCCTTAATATTCGATAAAATCGTAATGCGCGGCAAATTTTGAGGCAAAATTGTTATCACCGCCGACTTACCACTTCAGGATTTGGTGACACTTGAAGTCACATTCCACGATAAGCTCGTAGAAACATTTCCTCTTTGAGGTAAACTAGTAGGTTGTAACTGCAGAGGTAGTCCCATTTTTGCAACTCAAAGGTAGGGGAGCCAGGGGCTAATGGTTCTTTGCGCCTTGGAGCCTTACCATTACTGCTACAAATACACTGGTGTGCAAAACTTAAGGACGAGACCAGATATGAAGTCTCATAATCTTCTGATAGCTTTGTGGACTGTTTCACGGTTCCTGTTAACTGCTTTCTTTAGTGGCCTGTGGCAGCTCTTTGTATGGTGTGTTACGCCGCCAGTAACACTGTCATGGGAAAAGCTACCTCGTCCCCAGTTCTTGCCACACATTAGTGTTTTGCGTAATCCTCTTACCTCCATTCTCCTCGTCTCAGCTCAGCATCCTCTGAAACAGTCCGCGATCCGAGAAAAGTCTTTTATTTACCTCCGAACTTGTCATCCACTACCCATTTTCGGGGCACATAACAACATCCTTAAGCAACAGTCGGGAACTGAAATTGAAAGCCAATCGTTCAAACATTAGGCAAGGGGTGCAATGAGGAACATTAGTGAGGAGAAAAAGCAAAAAGCACCATAGAAAACACTAAATTCCCTTAGGAGGCCGGCCGTAGTACGACGGAGAGACACAGCGCTGCGAGGAGAGGGGAACGCGAGATAGTACGTCGTACGCGAGAGGACGCAGAGACCACGTATGCCGCGTGGATCACGCTGGCAGCGCAGCGGCCCAAGGCCTTACGCCATGCCGCGCACTTGGTCGCATACGTGTCGCCCCTCATGCATGGACCTACCACAGGGTCAACCCTGCGTTGCGCAAATTCCCAAAATTTTTACGACCCCCTTCCTTTTCGGGGGGTATCGGTACGACCCCCCCCCCATATTAACTATCATGTCTTTCACATAATTTAATGCTCATCAATGCTCATCAATGATGGCAGTCACCAACATGGAGAAGTGGTGGACCGTGGTCAATCCGCGCGCTCTGTCTCGCTCAGAGGAGGAAATCGAGGCAAATGAAGTTTTATTCATTAAATAGAAGGAATTTTCCAAATTTTGCGTAAACCAATACATCATTTTAATCGTAAAGATTTCTACTTTCAGAAACCCACCAGGATTTTTTCGATCTCTCAACTTTCCTTACCTTATAATCTGAAAAACTAAACCTTGTAGCAATTACATTGCAATCCAAACCCCTCCATTCAGAAGGTTATATTTTCTTTCAGAAGCTGTTTCATGAAATCGGACACCAAAATTTTGAAAAATATAAATAGTTTTCTTCCTGAGGAGTATTTGAAATGTTGTGGATGTTCAGTATTTCAAAAAATCGTGCCCGTTGTTCCGTTTTCTGTGCACACGCGAGTTTTTGACATTCAAACATTCATAACTTTCTTCATAATCAACTTTTTGCAAATGTCTAAGGCTAATTAGAAACTAGAAGATTAGAGCTTTCGAACAAGCACCTGAAAATTTCCAGCGATCATTTTTTCAAAAAATAGTCCGTTGTTCCGTTCTTGGGTGGTTTGGGGTCCGATTTTTGAGAAGGCGCGAGTTTTCGACATTCAAACGTTAATAACTTTCTTCATACTCAACATTTTGCAGATGTCTAAGGCTAATTAGAAACTAGAGGATTAGAGCTTTCGAATAAGTGCTAAAACTTCTTGAAATAATCACTCGCTCAAAAAATAGTCCCGTTGTTCCGTCAATTCCACCTTGATTTTTTCAAGCCTTTTTCCTGGACCGCGACTATGCAGTCTCCAAGGCAAATAACTCTTGAAATAAATATTTAGAACGGTAAAGATGTTGAACCACTCGAAGAGTACTCAAACTGCTGTGAAATATTCCCTTAAATCCACAGCATGATAAATGAAGTAGAAAAGCACATTTTCCTACGGTCGTCTCTAGAACATCTTCAGCAAATCGCTACTTTGTCGCTTTGATTTGAAAACATCAAAAACTCTCTTCAAAAGGTCTCTCGCCGCTGACAGAAAGCGTTTTTATGGAAAACGCCTGCTCGGGTATACGCCGTGCACCTATCTGTGGGCAGAATTCGCACTCGCATTTGAAAGTCTTCTGTTTTCCTGAAGAAGGTGTTAGTATCCTGATTGAGTTGTATTGTGCTGTTATATGGCACTCTTGTTTCACTTTCCCATGAACTGCTCTACACTTTGTTCTCCTCGGGATTTCAGGAATGTTTCACATCGAAAGACAGACCATGTTTTTGCACTACACTGTAACAAAGTTTTTGGCTATTGTCTATTGTACTCTTGATCCGCGGACAAACAAATGGCCCGATAGCGCGATAAGTAAATAATCTCAAGGAACCTATAGTGCTTGCATGCTTATGCACCATATGGACTCATCTGTACTCTCCGACAGCGGCAAGCTCGGAGAACATTAAGAGGCTGAAAGTACACTCCCGAGAACAGTGCAACTTCAGCGCGTGCAGCCCACTTTTGATACACCCCTCCTTATCGTCGCGAATACGACCGCCCTCCCGTTCTTTTGCGCAACGCAAGGTCACCCTCGCCACCATCGCACCCCGTCAGAACTCGGGTTGCCTAACCTTGACTCGGCTTTAAAGCAGCAGTAACACAAGAGTCGGATGTGAGAACGAGCCTTTTTTCGGACAGGAGGCACGAGCCATAGTTCAGTTAGGGTCACGATTTCTAGGTTAACAATTTTTCGAACATTCGTAGTCACCACTTTACAAAAATCCCAAACTTTCAATCCTTTTGCTTTTATTCAGGTGTTTGGCGCACAAGAAGCTGTCACTGTCACAAATCGTCAGGATCTCCAGAGAGCCACGAGGAAAGGCTTATCGAGAGATGCGATGTGGCAGCATCGCCGTCTGATCCTCGTCCACCTAAAAAACGCTACGGTAGTTCGGATGCTGGTAGCGTTGAAGTGCCTCCGGCCGAATCTCCTAGCGGTGCACAGCTACCTCGAGCTGCCCCACCACCGCGGCGTTCTGCGACGCACGTCAAGTGCCAACAGGTAGGCATTATTGAGTATTAAGCCAAAACTGCTACGATCAGAATGGAATCATATAGGGTAGAGAAAACCACTCCTGTCCACCCCAGTCAAATATTGAGCAGTAAACCGAAAGGAAGGTGTTGAAATGGCAACCTGACCCACTACATCTGCCTATTATAAGGTCCATTAATGCCAACTCATACGAACTTCGCTACGATTCAAGCGAACTAGATGCGGTGCATTCCAGAAAAAACTTATTGTAGAAGCTTTATCCTTTTACCATTTTCCCGTACCCGTTTTCAATGAGATCCAAGTGCGCGGTGACGCATTCTGAAAGCCTATTTTTATTACCGCCGTATACAGGAAGAAAGCGAACCAACTGTGGAAATGATGGTGGACAAGAAACTCAAGAAGTGGGAAAATTAAACGGCAGTTCAACATTGCTATAACTGCATCTGAACTCCATCTCAACGGGATCATCCGAAAATCGGGTTCACGTTGGTTTGCCCTCTTATTTCCGCTTTTTGGTAGCCCCCGTTTGAGTTCTGGCCGTATCGAAAAAATGAATCACAGCAAAGCTCTAGTAGTACACGTTCCAATATTCTCTATTGGAGCGCCTACACCAAAACATAAGGCGCAACTAAGGGGGGGGGAAGTCTAATCCCGTATCGAGTCTTGTCCATGTAACCCAAACCTCGTATACCTCTCTGGCTGGTTGATGAAAACGCTGACTTTACTGGCCTCTGAGAGAACCGCGCAACACCGAATGCCTACTTTTTCCTCCATCAAAATATAGAACAGCTCACAACAGAAAACGCACAGTCGCTAAATGCCAAGCGCACCATTCAACATCATGTCGCAAGTACAACTTACTTCTCACAGGTAAATCTTGGTGGTTAAGCGGTATTTCCGCGCAAAAACGTGGAACCTGGACCTCAGAAAAACGATTCGTCGAAAACGTCAGCCGAACTAATAAATTCCCACCTAATCATCCGCGTACAGCACAAACACCTACACAAAATATGTCGAAAATCATTAAGAGGAGCGATTAAAGGACGAATTTACGATGGAAAAGCAACCCATTCCAAATTGAGTAGGATGGTGAGTAGTACCAGAAAGAAAGCGAAACCACGAAAAACGGCCCAGAACCGGAGAAATGGGACCCCTTCCTTGTCCGTTGATTTGAGCATTGATGGGACTCTCATCGCTTTGCCCTCTTCAACCCTACGCTCTCTCAGCTATCTAATCACTCGCCACCTATTGTACTACGGCGAGTGATCAGACGATCGGTGGGCGGAGATCGCCGAACTCGCCAACTTTGAGCCATGCTAGATCTCAGAGGTCAAATCTTTCGATGCCGATTGCGTGTCTGTCCGCACCCTCAAGAGATTCACCGCTCTCCCCACTAGGCGATTTCTCCCTTCTTCGACCTTCGTTCTTTCCGTGCAATCCTCCTTTAAGGTCAACACCATATAGCTTCACAGCCCAGCGTTCCCTGATTTTTCTCCCGTTCACTTGTCAACAGCGGTGAAGATATTAAATGAAATCATATCCATCCTAATCTACCGCAAATTTACCTTACGCAACTACCTTCATAAAACAAGTCTACCCACTGTCCCTCCCCCCCTCACCCCTCCCTAAAAATATTTGTAAAGAGCCCTCCCCTGACAAATTGTGCTGACACTAACAATGTTTCCGGATTCAGTAACATCTGCAAGCTGTACATGCAAATGGGGTGGATATCGACAACACGGGGGGGCCAAACTGCCGTCGTGATGAGAGTGGCGAACGATTTCCTGGCGGGGTTCACATGTGCAACGAAATTGTGAGCAAAATTCCCTCCGGATACCCGCTGAGATCATCCACGATCACCATGGCTCACAATAAAAAACACCGGTGCAAGCCATACGAGTTCAACCGCCATTAACGCTATCAAACGAAAATTCGACCTTGGATGTCAGTTATTCAGCACTCAGGACGAAGTGGTCCGACTTAACGATGTACAGATGTTCTATTGGAATGTCAAAGCGCTGAATCTCAGTCGTATCATCCAGGTAACGTCTCTTTTTCTTCTAGCTAACGCTTTCTAGGAATGCAAAGCTAATGTGGAGGTTCCTTTATTTCACACCAACATCATCTGTGTTGCAATTCACAACTCACGCATACCCTCCCTTTCAAAAACGAGAAAGTGTCGGGTGCAGACCATACACCACAAGTGACGACGGCCTCCACAAAATGTAAATGTTTTCTGCCAATGAAATGATTAGCCTGTTGTATCAGTTGTCACTAATTACAACTATCATTTACCAAAAATCAGCTATCACTATGAACCACTACTAACCAGATTTACTTGGAGGCCGTCGTCACTTGTGGTGTATGGTCTGCACCGACGCTCTTCTCGTTATTCGAAGGGAGATTATACCCTATTTCGGAAAACGAGAATAGCGTCGAGTGCAGACCACACAGCACAAGGGATCAACGGCCTAGGAAGACGAGGCTCTTTACCTTGGACGTCATCACTTGTAGTGTGTGGTCTGCACTCGACGCTCTCTGAAATAGGGGTACGTACGATATGTCAAGGAAACTGCCTCCTCTCAACCGTGAGGCTAGGCAATTCGGTGTTTTGTAGCGTTGTTTGGAAGCTCTCACATAAGCATTTTAAACCTTTAGTTGACAGAAGCCTTGTAACCCAAGGAAGTGTGCCTCCCTCTCCCAAGCTTACCATTAGCCCTAAAAGAGAACCGAGAAGTGGCGTAAAAACGAGTATAAAAGCGTATCGGGCGTATGAGTGCATTTTCACGCAGTGCACAAAGGGCGTGAAATGAAGGCATACCTCCACATCAACTTTGCACATTTTCAGCCTGTCTTATTTGAAATCCAAATTTTTCCAGCAGTACGATGCCGAACTGCAAAACACTAATGGAAACCTCACACTTAATTGCCACAATACAATCACTTAAAAATCATGTGGAGGCGGATTTAGAAGTGAGTAAATGTCAACCTATTCATTGATCAATTCTCTGATAATGAGCTTGCTGAAGTCCAACCCTTTTGGTATTCCTGATGCAATGTGGCTCGGGGGGGGGGGGGGGCACCTCGCAACATCGCGTCAAAATCACGGAAACGCTCCGTTTTAGGACTAAGCTTTTGAAGAGGAGAGGAACTCCGGTGTACGGAAGCAATTTTCGTATTCTCCGGAGTTCGTCCCTGCTGTTTAGGCTTAGTCCTAGATGACTTTTCTCAGAGTGCCCCCCCCCCGAGCCACATTGCGCCGGTATTCCTTGAACGCACATTTAGTACTGAATAGGTGGAGGTTCCTTGCTCAAAAATGTAGCTGCTGTTATGTTATCGCGAAATTACGGTGAAGGGATGGAGCCAATTAGAGAGGTTTTCGCAAAGACGGAGCGCAAACTCCACCTACTCATTGGCGGGTGGTATATTCTTGTTTTTAGAACTTCTTTCATCGTGTGGCCCCAACTAAACTACTTATATATTTCGAGTGGCAATAATTGAACACCTCGTATAGTCGCAGAAGTGTGTTTCTACTTGGTGCGCTTTGGTTCGCTAGAAAATTTTGCCACCAGTTTCATTGCGATTGCGAGAATTGATAAGCGAACGCATGACATATATTCCTTTCAAAAGGGCAAAAACGAGAAAGTGCAGGCCACACACCACAAGTGACGACGGCCTCCACAAAATTCTGCCAATGAATGATTAGCCTGTTGCAGTTGTATTCTATCAGTTGTCACTAATTACAACTATCATTTACCAAAAATCAGCTATCACTATGAACCACTACTAACCAGATTTACTTGGAGGCCGTCGTCACTTGTGGTGTATGGTCTGCACCGACGCTTCCTTCGTTTTTTGAAGGGGAGGGTAGATGCGCAAAGTGTGCGTGAACGCAATTCATCCCCGTAGCGCCCTTGTGACCACGTTTTGCACAAAAGCTCTGCTTTAGAGGGTTGTGACCAAGCAGGGACTTTACAGAATATCATCCAATTATACAATAGCTTATAAACGTTTTCAATAACCTTATAACCTTGTACGAATCCTCGACACTCACTATTTGAATTTAGCGTGTACGAAAAGAACTACGGGCACTCTCCGAACCACATCAAACATCACAGCCTTCCCAAAACAGCGCCGCCGCGGCCCATCAATCGGCTGGACAATCGGCTTCGAATGATGTTATAACTATTGATGACCATCATCAACACGTATCCAATGGAACAATGATCAACTTCTTCTTTGACCGAAACGCAACAGCATAAAGACATAAATGTTTATTCCTAATTCAATAAACATCGAGAAAGAACAATGAAAAGAAGCATGCAGATTTCGCGACAATTCAATATTAAATCTAAAGCGTGCTGCAAATTAATCGAGTACTCGTCGTTGAGGATAGTAAATGCGGCAAGATCATATATTACATGGACTAAAAACAGAGCATTTAATATTAACGAACGTTGTACAGACCGTCCTGCGGCTCGATATACTGCTTGGTTTCATACAATCCTGAGCGGCGGAAATTTTCTCCATTCCCGAGTTTTACTTGACCTGGACTGCCTCCAGAAAGAGCGTTTAAGGCACTCTCCTCCCCCACCCATGTCAAATTTTTTGTCCCGCACCCAGCGGAGAGGTTCAGCATACGCCCTAATTTTTGTATACCTAGCGAACTGCGCCATCGTTGCACTGATACATTCCATCGCTTGCGCTCTCTAACAATCAGGGCCGTCGATTGTACCTCATGGATGTGGTTACTGGAGTAACCACATCCATGAGGTCTTATTTGGGCCTACGAGCATGGAGAGAACATAGAGTAAGCAGCAGGCGGACCTTATAACACGAAGTTGTGGAGAGCTGAGCCGTTTGGACACGGACTTGCCCAAGATTTCCCATAAAAAAAGCGCCGAAGCGAGTAGGCTGCTGATGGTAGTGGGGTGCTACGGAGCCAGAACTTTTTGAACAGTTCTTCTGAAGATACAGTATCCCTTTGAACTCTTAGTTTTGGTTTGTACAGTTTGGGTTCACGTCCCGCTCAAACCTAGTGATTTCTATTCACAAAATAACCTCGGGTGTGTGTGTCCAAATGGCTCAAGCCTGGAAGTGTAGGATGAGTATGTCCTACGGGTCAAGGGTGCAACTTTGCGAAATGGAAGTTGACCGAGAAAAATTGGCGCAATTGGCGTAACGAAGGGGAAAAATAGCTATTCTCTTCATTTTTCCTCACTAGGTCTAGACCCAAACCCCGCGTTTAACTGCAATCAAATCGCAAGCGTTGGAATATATAGATGGATACATACAAGTTTGCACAATCATGAGTATACCGGTAACGATGGCTGATGACAACGCAAACACAAAAAGCTGACAAAATCCTGAGTCATGGGAGATTTTTACGAAGACAATGAACAATATCTGAGTAAGATTTCAGATTGGCCAAGCATCACAGAATTTACATTGAAACTTAAAAGCTCCATAAAACAAGCAGAAGCCAAATTGAAGCAAAAAAGAATTTCAGAAAATGAGCAGACAGAAAAGCTTGGTTGATAAACTATAAATCATTCTTGACATGGGCTGCAGAATAAAGGGTAAGTAAAAGATTGTGATCACTGATACAATTGGCAGCTAGGGCAACTTCCATACAGTCTTCTTCCATTAAAGACTTACCAAGGAAAATGCAGAAAATTGTGTGGTTGTAAAAGTTACCCAGACACCGCCTTCTTTGACTGTAGCACTAATCCTTGTTTGCCAAGCATTGAGCAAATAGACCTAAGTCCAGGGAGCCGGTCTGCTCATAACAAGCAAAGTAATCAAAATTTTCTGAGCTTCACTTCTTATACTGCAATAAAAGATATGTTGATATTTAGATGATCAATCAATTTGAGTCGCACAACATTAGGCGACCTGAATTTTTCGATTTCGAAGAAGTTCAAAATTTAAAACCAAATGGAAATTGTCCTGATAAAACGCCCTAACAAATCTGAAGATACGTGCTTTTACTAAGATATGGTAATGGTCTTCAGTACTGCTGAGGCGTTTGTCCATCTGCTTTTGACCTTGTAGGGCTTTTTGCAAACCACGAAATGGGAATGCACCGAATGAATTTTCCATTTTGCTGGCGCTTGATTAAAGAAACAAGCAGAATGAGTGTGCCGAAAATCTTTCTGTGGTGTTGAGTAGGAGGATCCTTGTTTCAACCTCATCAGCAGTTTGCATTGCTTTCTTGTTCATTTCCAGAATATCAACAAAGCAATTGTATTATCGAGGCTGCAACGTAGGCTAGTTGACTCACGAGGAATGCTCAATGGTCAGTCCGGCCATTTATAATGAGATGTAGTCCAATGGACGCGTCTTGCGACGCTGAGCTCAAATCCGTTTTCGTTATCTGCGGAACGATTCTCTGAAAGAAGTTACGAGGGATCTTCTCACTATGGCTTTTTTCACTGTGGCATCCTCTACATTCCCCTGTCCTACATGGTTCGCATGAAGAACGCCAGAGAGCATTACACAATGGCAAGGGTTAGTGGATATCTCCCTAGACTCACTCGAGAGGTCATATGATCAGATCCTTAGAACCGCAAAGTTTTTGCATTTTTTCATGGCTCCTCAACGAGCCAGAAAGTGTCTATATTTGGTTATTTTGTTGATTTGCGTCCCCACTTGACATATGGCTGAGACAGACTTTGGAATTTTCCTCTCGTCCTTCTTTTTAGGTTTTCTCTATTATGATGAACTTTGACACACGGGACAAAACACAAGGACACAGGCTCGTAAATATACAAAATTTCAATAACTTCGTGAGCATATGTGATAGTTCTTCACATGGTGATCAAAACAAAACAGCTTTTCGCAGTTGCACAGGAAATAAAGAAAGAGCTAAGGTGATGTAGAGGGTGCCACAGTGGGAAAGTCACAAAGAGAAAAATCCCCCCTAACTTCTCTTCAGAGAATCGTTCCGCAGATAACGAAAACGGATTTGAGCTCAGCGTCGCAAGACGCGTCCATTGGACTACATCTCATTTCAAACGGCCGGACTGACCAATTGACCATTCCTGTCAGCCCTTAATAGCGCCTCGGTGCTCTCTGCGGCGTCCCTCTCCTCTTCAGCTTAAGTCCTGATGCATTCACCCGTGCTGTACCTTACTAGTACCGACATAGTATTTTCCAAGTATTAGGCGGGTGCCCTTACCTTCATCAGCCGGAGTAAACCAAGGAAGTGGTCAAAAAACGCCAGATCGGCGGCATGTAAAGCCGATGGTGAGTAACAGAGGATGCTGATGTCGTCAAGACAATCTGGTCATACTGAAAACTAGAAACAGACATAGACCTGCATTTTATGTGTTGAAGACCAAGTTGACCTCGATATAGTGTGTGATCGATATGTGGCACTAGCTGATTTGCTCAGAAAACAGATGAGAAAGAAATGCTCATAAAGAAATTCTGGCATGCCCATCGTCAGAGAAACTTAGGTGTAGCTCAGGTTTGACACACAAATGCGCTGCAATTTCAGTGAAAGTGCCATTTGTATAAGAAACTTACAAGACTTACAAGATAGCAGAAAATCTGCTAGATGAATATGTGTGAGTTCTTTTGAAATTTGTTTATCCTATTAGAGTGTTATTTGTTCCACAAGAACATGCGTGAGGCTCGAAATATACAGTTCTATACGGTACGAAGGGACTTGCTAGTGATTAAAATCCGTAATCGCGTGCAAACAAGAATAACCGCGATTATCCTTCAGAAGCACCTTCTGCGCCATTACTTGCTGAACGTACCAAGGAGCCGATTAGAAGAGCGCCGCGCATCTTAGCATCTCACTCTCAAAGGAGAGGACTTCCAAATACTAATTCTAGGGAAAAAACGTCCCGGAATAGAGCTTTGAGAGGGAAACAAAGTGCTGTGCCCACTGATCGACAAACGTCGCCGATGGAAAACGGAGGTCGTGATCCATTCGTGTAGAGCACATAGGTGCATGCGTCTCCATACTCCGATTTCAAATGATAATAATTTCTGAAAAAACCGTTCTTATGCGGAAGATTATTGTTATCACGTGATATCAGCATCAACAACAAAGAAAAATTAGCAACGAAATATAAAAATGAACTCATAATAAGGTAGTATAATTATTTTATTATAGATTACCATTATTATCATAAGAATGTTATTAGATTACATTATTATCGTTACCAATTATAGGGATTATCACTATCACCACATTTTCATTAAGGATAACAACAACAAATAATCAAAAAATGGAACTTACAACAAGGTAGTGTGATGAACAAATCCATGCGATTTGTAGAATCTGATCGCTGGTAAATTTGTCGATAAGACATGTAAAAACACAGCCTTCGGATATGGAGGAATTGTCCACAACCTGAAAACAAAAGGAATTTCCGAGAAAACGACACATTTCAACCAGAGCTGATCTGTGAGACTCACCGAATCCAATAAATGTCTAAGAAGTCTTGATGCAAGACCTAATCTTCGATACGCGTGAGACACAGCCAAACTCAACATATAAACAGCATGGAGCGCCACTATCCGCTACTATATCGCGATCCTATAACAGACCACATGGATGGGTTGGATATAACGCACAAAGTGCCTCCTGAGGAAGCAGTGGATTATGGGGCGCCGCTTAAAAATTGCACACTTTAGAAGATCAAATCCTGCTCAAAAGGATTGAGCGTTTGGATTCACTACTAAGGTGTGAAAATATTTTTAGCACACCCGTTGTCAGAGCGAGTGAAAAACGAAGGATTGTTATGTGTCTGTTGTTAAATTGCAAATCAGTTTCTTCAGATGATTCAAAATCAAAAATATTCGGATCGAAGATGTAAGGCATTCGTGTGATTTGAAGTTTAGTTGGAGTTAGCATCATTGAATGAGGCATCAGATCGCGTTAGAGCTGTAAGTCAAGGGACTGCGTGCAGATTGCAATAAAAACTTCAGGAAAAATCAGGGGATTTGGTGACTTTTGCCCTTGGCGACGCTAAATATATGATTAAAGCTACGAGTCAGGATTAGGCAACCAGGAGAAGTTCTTCCCAGGGTGTGATGGTGGGCTTCCCAAGTACTGAGGGCGCGACACTGTCGCGATCAAAAGTTCGATGGCACCGGGCGAAGACCTGCATTGTGTGCTGCCGATTTGCACCAGCACGATACGGGGGTCTCTGATCTCTGCACGACGTACTATTTCGGCGTTTCCTCTCTCGCAGCACTGTGTCTCTCCGTCGTACTACGGCCGGCCTCCTAGAAGGAAAATTTAGCAGTTTTCTATGGTGCTTTTTGCTTTTTCTCCTACAATAATTCCTCATTGCACCCCTTGCCTAATGTTTGAACAAAATAACGCATCAATTCAATCGATTCGGTGACTTCTTTTGCCTTTGGCGACTCTGAATATATGTTTAAGGCAGAATTGTGGCCACGGAGCGGATCAGTGCTAACCCAGACCTTTCGACGAAGAAGTGAGCATTTGTGATATTTTTGACTGGTGGTAATTAGCACTGTAGGTAGGACACTGGACGAAAGTCACACGAAGATCCACTCCAGATAAGAGAACGGGACGTGTTTATTCCAAAATTCACTCAACCCAAAGGCTGACCTTGAACAGGGGTCGGAAAGTGTGTTACACAAGACACTTCGCAAAAATAACGCGAAAGTGGAAAAGAACAGCCAGCCACTACACGTACCTCAGGATTACAATGTAAAATTGTTTTCATTTCTGCAACCATCATCGCCACCAATTGTTTATCATCGAACAATCCCACGCTAATCAGTTCACCACCGACCACTTCCTCAAACCTGCAAGATACAATGTTCGAAAAGAGAAAAAGCTCATTCTGGTCATAGTTACTGACACTATTGTGAAAGAATATACTAATATTTTATTAAGAATATAGCTCATTGGAGGTAGAATTGAAATTACCAGCATCCGGGATACTGAATTGGAAAAGAGGCGGCACATAGCGCTTCGATAGCTGGAACATCTGATCGGATAAGTGGGCGCAGAATAAGCGGTGGAACGGTTGTTCCACCGTCTCGTAAGAGTAATTCTTCCTCCCCGTAAGATGCTGGCATGGTCAACCTGAATGTCAATTGCTGATTGCTTGGATGAAATTGAAAATATCCTGTTTACTTACCAGGTTAAAGTAACGGGAAGGAAGGCAGAAATATGTTGAGCCGAAGCCACGACTCAGACCTAAAACTGGACATAGTAATATTATGTAATTAGCCTTGCTTTTCAATTCCGGCGCTATGGCAACATACGGGGGAGGGGTGGGGAGGGTCTGGAACTAGGCCTAGGTGAGAGCAAGTAATTCGAGAAAAAAATGCAAATTCCTCAGATACCCAAAAGTCCTTCCCTCCTCCCTGGGACTTAATCCTTTCTAACGAAAAAAGGGATGTTTTACGTGGTTTTAAACACATTGAATTAAAATGCCCCGTATCTTGCGCCTCAATTCCTTTAGGCTAGCATCACGTATTCTACCTTCACTTGAAATAGTGGCATTTGGTTGCGGTTTAGTCTATGCAATAACTTGCGCAGTTAGTTGATTAGTTGATATAGCTGATCTGATGCAAATCTGGGAGGACTAGGGAGAACGCAATCAGGAACGGATCCAATGATTTGACCCTCAGCATACACTCTTTGAGCGATATCACTCCCACTACACCTCCTTTAGCAGAACTATTTTTTTCAATAACGGCACATTTTCTAGTAAATAAATAAAAAAAGACCAAAAAAACTCACCATGCTAATCCAAGGTCGGCAGTCCTCGGCCAAAAACGCATAAATGAAGCAGATTCTGAGCAGGAGATTCCTGTTAGTAATTTTTACCAAAAAATGGATATGAGCCATTATGATCAGGTTCAAAAATTCAAAGGTATTCGAGATACAGCTAATTCTCAAAAGCAAAACAACCGATTGAAACAATTTATAACCCTATTGACACATAAACAATTGAATGACATAATTTCTAAGAGACGGCTCCCTTAGAAAGAGCGGAGCGTATTACTGAAGAAATAGCATAAAACGAGAACATAATAACATTTTCATTGAAAGAATGATTAAAATATCAATTATTGCTAGCTAGCTACACTCTCAATGTACTAGTTCCGAAGCCTCTTTTCGTTGAAGAAAATAGGCGCGCAGAGATACGCCATATCGTCCAGGTGACTCGCTGAAAACGGAGATAAAAATTTTCTAACCTTCAAGGAGCCTGGATGAAACAACATACTGAATCCTATCCAATCCTTGAGAGCCTGCCGAAGTTCATCATCAGAGGCATCCGGTCTAACTTTTATACGCCTTATGTATAGATGCTGGAAGAACTCTTGTTCACGACTAAAAGAGAATAACGACGCTAAAACATATGCAAAACAACGTACAAATTGTAACTGCCGCTCAGTGAGAGACTCTCAAGTTGCTTTCCAAAATCTTGTCCAACTGACGCATTGCTTTACATCGCAGCGTAAATCGACGCCTCACGCCCGGCAGCGGATATATGGAATGCAGCGATGATAACGCCATCTAAAAGTGCAATATGAGTTCAGCAAAAATAGATATGTCATTGCACTTGAACACATTTATTTGATTGAAGCCAAAATTTTCGCCAGACTCAGACTGCCGAGCCAACTGAATTGAGATATTGCTGGGAATTTTTCGCAGAAAAGTTTACTCTTTTGTTTGAAAAGGACAGAAATATTGAATATTTCGTAGAGGCGGAAAAATTTAGTTTGGCCTGATTGCCCGGAAGAATTTGGAAAGCTGAGACTGGAATTTTCCATTGCAAATTCCCTAAGAAATCGGCCTAACCCCATCAAAGAATATGCAAGATGACAAATGGGGAATATATCATCAGAAGGGAGCATATAAATTCAAGGAAAAAGTGAATTAAAAACAGAAAGAGATGTCGCTCCAAAGCATTGAGAAATGTCGCGTCTTCAAGAAGCAGAGATGCGTATGCAAAGCGGGACTCAGCCATATAAGATTAGTGAAAAATCCCAATATTTCAATTGATCCAATCCTCCTAACCTATTTTTATATAGCTTGCAGTAAACTCTTTCAATTGAATGTCAGTGTTACTAGCACACTTGGTCTTCATAACATGGGCGAACGCCATTACCACTTCGAAGAAGGGGAGGATCGTAATAGATAATCTCCGAAAATGTACTCCTCTTTGTGTGAAAACTCAAAACACTAAATTAAGAAGAAGTTCGAATAGAAAATAAAAGAGGGAAAAGGAAATGCAAAATTGAATGAAGCTGTTGAGAGACAAAATACGCGCACTCCACAAGCTACCAATTCATCCACGCTATATCTAGTTTCTGACCAAAAGAAATAGACCACATGAATAATTTTCTCAGAGCAGCTTTTTCTTTGTTGAAGATTGGAAAAAATAGAAGGGGTAACTTATACTTAGTGGTATAATACCAAAAGACGGTATATCATCAATGAGTTCTAACATCGCAACACAGTCTCGACCTTAGTCGCTCCTCCAGTGAAAAATCCCTACCAACAGAAACCAACTCAACAGAGTGTTTACATACTTATGCAGTTCCTTTTACTTTTTTTCACTACTTTCCATTAGCGCTCAAAGACTATGTCCGTATCCAAGACTACGCTAATGCGTCGGAAACCAGCTCCCGTTCGCTTTTTATGCACATCAGGGTTTGGACTATTCTGTCCTTCCGGTGACGTTGATGCCCCTTATGGTTAGAGCTGAGAAACAACTTACAGGCACTTCTTTGCCGCATAAAAAATAAAGGATAAAGCATTTGCCGTTGATCAATCCCTTTTTGGGATGCGGCACGCATTCTACTTCCATTTGTACATTCGTAGTGGCGTTTGAATGCGATGTGGCCTATACACTGCGTTCAATAATGATACAGCCACCTAAATTTGTTCAAAAAAGTTTTAGAGTTTCTGAAAAACTGTCCAGATAGAAAATGTGACAAATTTCATGGCGAGTTCAGATATCAACACAAAAATCCATGTCGAAAACACTAAAAAATTTTGTGCTTATTTTTTCAGAAGAGGTCGATTTTCCTATGTTCAAAAATGATACAGCCACCCCGTGTTTCTTCGTTGAAATTCATTTTTGCTTCATGAAACTGATTCGCAGTTATCAGGCTTTCACCTTAATGTTCCCACAAGATAAAAAAGACAGTTTAGTTTTGAAAAAAGGTAAACTGTAGCAAAAAAGGACCAGGAATCGTCAAGCAGTCATATTGCGCAAAAATTGAGTCAAAGCTCCAATACGGTTAACAATCTTTTCTGGAATCCTGTAGGTTATGGAACAACGACAAGCTCTGGATGTTCAGTACAGCAGGGATGTTTTACGTGGTTTTAAACACATTGAATTAAAATGCCCCGTATCTTGCGCCTCAATTCCTTTAGGGTAGCATCACGTATTCTACCTTCACTTGAAATAGTGGCATTTGGTTGCGGTTTAGTCTATGCAATAACTTGCGCAGTTAGTTGATAT